TTTAGATTGATAATTTTAATAAAATTTATAGTTAAGTTTCAATGAAATAAAAAAAAGTTTAATACATTTCTTAGAAAAATGCATATATGCATTTGTTTACAATTAAAGTTCCATTTATAAAACATAGATTGATTATTCGATCATTCACGATGTCATATTATATGTTGGCATTGGTTTCAACTCGTCGAAGGTGATATAAACATTTTACAAACGTGCAATAACGCACGTTCTATCTATTTACGAACCATAAAATTAAATATTACTTATATGCCCTACATTTTTCAAAAAAATAAGTAATAAAAATTATATTTTTAAGTAAATTTTTATTCTTATTTAAACTTTTGTACTTGAATATAACATATGATTCATAATAGCGAAACCTTGATCTAGGTAAATTAAACTATGCAAACTAAATATATTATATAAATGTAAACATGTATTATTCACATGTACTAGTCACATGTAATAATCATTTAACATATAAAATATGATTTTGCTTACAATTAAAGTGTCAAATAGCGAAATAAAATATATTGCAGTGAAAAATAGATAAAAATAAAAATTAATTATGTTTAGTTATTCATTTATGAACTTTTCATTTTCTTGATTTAACTGAAATGAACTTATAGGAATTCTGCGAAATGAACGTCAACGTTATCTCTAACATGTGATGATATCGCAAATCAACAATGAATCATTAATGAAAAAATAAAATTTTTATATTTTTTATTATATAATTATATAGCTATTATTTTGTTTTTTTATATTAATTTCTTTGATATTAAAGTTACACAAATTGATAAATAAAAAAATATTTTAGGAACATTATATGATTTATATAATTAATGTTATTATAAAAAGAAAATAATTTTTATTAATTGCATACAAAATATAATAATATAAACTTAATTGAATATAGTAGACAATTTAATAATATAAATTGTAATAATACAAACTAGAATATAATAGAAATTAAATTTAATTGAAATATTATATAATAGATTCGGAATGATATCGGATTAATAAATATAACAAATGAATATTTACATGATGCCACCAACTTAACAATTCGCTTACAATTTCTAAATATATATTTTAGCTTACATAGCAAAATAGTAGAAGAGATCATTGAAATATCATACGTTCGGAGAATAAATGGCATTGAACCAATAAATATAGAACTGACTGCTTGTATGATGCCAATAATCAGCGTTTAATAATTCGCTTACATGCAGTTTTTAAGTATTTTAACTTGTATATAAAACTCGAACACAAATTATTTCTATTATATATATATGAATAATTGAAATCTATTTCAAATCCTTGAAGTACGATAATATTAAAAATATTTTTATGTATATCTCCAAAACTAAAATTGTGCGGCATATATAAAAATAATTGCTCATAATATTGAATAATATATCTCAAAGATATTGAAATTAATGGAATATGCATTTTTGTATATCATTATTGGTTTTCACATTATTCTTATCGTTATATGTTAAAATGAAATATTAAGTAAAAATTGTACGAGAATGAATTTATTTTATTATAAGCTACAACAATAGAATATTAATGTATATATTTATATCTCTGCATGTAATAATATTTAATTGAAAAATTAATCTTCGTATTTAACTTTCAATAAAATTCAGTTAAACTAGCACTTATGAATTTATTACGAATAAGTTATAATATCTTTTCTGTATATTTAAGAGCAATATTATTCATATAGATAAAACTAGAAAGAAATATATAAGAATATATATATATATTTACAGGTTATATTATATGACTAAAATATATGCATAATCTATTTCCGATATTTATACTTGAAACATATATATATATATATTTACAAAAGATTGCACTAAAATGAATCACATGAATCAAAGTATATTTAAAATATATATAAATAATTAAAAAATTACTAAATAGAAACAAAAATTCTAATATACAATTCTATATACAAAATCAATATTTATTTAATTCTAATTTTACAAGATAACAAGCATTGTTTCATTCATTAAAATAGCATGTAATGCATAATAATTGATCAATTTTAACAATCGATATATGATGAATTAATAATAATTTATTTTATTATAGAAATATATTTACGGATTATTATTATTATTATTATTATTTTGATCAAAATATGATAAATTTTAAATAAGTATAAAAATTTAATTTTCATTTTTTAAAGAATGAATAAAATTCTATAGAGATATATAAAGAGATATAAAATTCTATAGAGATATATAAAGAAATTTAATTCTTTTCAAAATTCAATTTGATTTTAATTACTAAAATAATTGTATTTATGTGTATGTATTTCTATCAATGCGAAATAAGAAATATATTTTTCTTAATATATTTAATATCTTAAATATTTTATTGAATTTTTCAAATTATTAAATATAAAGATATAATAATAATTATATTAAATATAAATTAGAAATTAACAAATCGAAAAAATCAGAAAATAGAAAAAAATAAGCATTTAAGCATTTTAAAGTATTGCATTTTCATATTGCAAAATACTTACCATTAAATTTCCGGAAGAGAGACATTTTGTTGCTTATTATATATTGATCAGTTATGTATTATATTGATCAGTTATATGGGAGCGTCAAATCGATATTTTAAATTTTTTAAACTAGAAACAGTATTTATTAATAAAATTGATTGCTATTAATAATACTTTTAATCATTATCAATAACTGATAAAAAATATTTTATTTAGTTAATTTAGATAATACCTCAGAATTATAACATCACTGTTAATTAAAATAAATTGGATAAATTGTTTATTAATATTATGTCATTCTTTCGTAAATTCGAAATGCGAAATAACCAGATAATAGATATTTTTTATCTAGTTGACTTCGAAATTGTGTATTTTCCTGAAGACACTGAAAAAAGATACCAGATTATCGCTATATCTGAATTCTATATTTAATACGCAATAATAGAATTACACAAAATTTTATAATAACGCATATTATATACATATAAAATAAAAAATATGACAACAATATATAAATATATCATTATCAGATCTATTATCTATAATTTCTTGTAATCTAATTAAAATTAATAAGATGATAATATATAATATACACTTATAAAAAATTTTATCATTTCTATATTATTATTAATATCATTCTTATAATATTTAGATAATATATTTCATGAATTTATTACATATTATACATACTAAATGTATATATAAATTAATAAAATTTATATCTAATTAAATGTAATATAAAAATTAAGTTACATGATAAAAGAAATACTTAGATATTAAATAAAGAATATTTTATTAGAATATATTTTATTATTGATTTTTAATCATCTTTTAACTTTATAATTATATTATAATTATATATATGGATACAAGAAATAAAAATAATATATGAAATATATTATTGAAAACGATATTAAAAGTTAAAAATTCCGGAATTAAATTACTGTCGATTTTTAATAAAATATTAATAAATTGTAAATAATATGTTGCAAAAATTTAATTTTTTTAATTCAAAGAAAATTAATAAATTTTAACTAAAATTTATTTGTAATATTCAAATTACTTATCAAATCTAATTAAGGTTTTTTTTCTACTATCTTATTTTAAATTTTAAGAAAAAATTCAATTCATTAAATTTAATGAAATAATTTTTTTGTTTGTGCAAAAAATTTTATGCAAAAATATTTTCGTATTATTACGATCGAGTATATATCGAGGAATTAAAATATAAATTAATCACAATATTTTATATATATTTTTATAATTAAACAGTTAAAACAGTTTAATTCCAATTAATTGGAATTTAAAAAGAAAAGAATATTATGTACTAAAACATGATTCAGCAAAATTTTTTTCTTCAAAATTAATATAATTTTTTTAGTTTTAATTGTAAAAATGTAAATGTTGAATTATAATCAAAATAAAATTGAAATATTAATATTCAATATATTAATATATAAAAATTTATATTTTATATATTTCTGTCATTTAATAAATTCATATACTAATATACATCGAATAATTTTAATATGAATTCCTGAAAAAAAAAAAGAATAAAAATGTATTTATAAACTATATACTTACATCATTCCTTTCATTTATTGCATGATGTTCAATGAGACTAACCTATTTCCATGTATCTTTTTTAAGATTCAAGATTGTGGAACAAAGAATAATATCCCGCCAATTTGTCGATCAGTACTTAGAAAAATTATCCTTTCTCAATATAGGTTTTATATTAAAATAAAAAATTAAACACTTTTTTACACATCCATATAACGAATTTTGCACAAAATATAATAGAATTATTTATTATTAATAACACTAAATCACAATAAAACGCAATATTGTAGAACGATCAAATTATTATACATAAACCACAAGTGTTACGACAAACGACAAACGTGACTAAAACTTAGTCAGTCACTGAACGGCGCTACCTTTTTTTAGTTTTCAATTCGCGCTTCTTTTCCCCTACCTAATCACCTGTTGAATGTATGAGTATGTACTTACATGTATCTATACATATAAATGAACTGAACGGATAAAGATAACCATTCTTTTATTAAATGTTCGCACCATTTCCATGTATCTACGTATTGTTCAATATACGTAATCGTAAATGTCAATTAATGAATATTGTTAAATTATATAGATTAAAAAAATAAACTTAATATCAATCAATGATATTTTACTATCATATTTACTATCATATAATATATATTTTTAGAATTCTATTATCAATTATAAATAAAAACAAAATTATCAATTTTAGAAGAAATAAAAAAATTACAGAAATTGAATAAAAATTGAATAAATTTTATAAATATTATATATAAAATTTAATGCTTAAGTATATCTTATTTATTTTATATTTTATTAATTACATATATAATACATATTTTACTTGTTTTATTAAAATTACAAAATCTTAATTAAATATTAATAAATTGAAATAATAATAATAAATGATAATATATATATATATATATATAATTAAAAATAATTTGATTATATAAAATAAACTATTTTTGTAATTATTTAATATTTATTAACTATTTTACATATACAGTTATATGCTAGTTACAATACATGTATATGTATTTTAAAGCTATTGGAAGACCTTTATGCATTAAACTTACAAATAAAGAAATTTAGCTATTGTTAAAATTTTGAATTATTATTAATATGTTTATCATATAAAATTATATTCATCATAATAATATGATCTAATTTATGAAAAAAATAAAAAAAGAAATTCAAATTATAAACTATGTATGTACATATATGAAAATACTAAAATAAAAAATTTTAATTATGTAATAATAGCATAGAAAAATATTTTTAAAATTTTAATCTATTATTCATAACAAACATTTCCAATTTCAATATAAAAGCTTTGATTAGGTTTTCCAATATCTCGTAAGGCCACATCTATAATAGGCAATCTAATAGTTTTATCAGTTTGATATGAAATTATTGTCTTGCCCCATTTTCCATTATGTATCTGAAAAAACATTAATATTATAAAAGTTTAATGTTTAAATATTTTGCAAAATTAATTCAAATATTTTAAAACTTACTCTACATTCATCAATTATCATTTCATATCTTAAGCGTTGATTTCCACGTGGTGTTAATTCAGCATCATTCCAAGTTAAAAATTTCATACCCTTTCTATATGTTTTTCTTTCAGAATCAAAATAGCCTATACTATTTTTACAATGATATGTTATATTTTGATATGCATTTTTTGATAGAAGTTGCAGAAAACCAATTTGATTACTATCTGCTTTATATGTAATCTGAATATTACATATTAAAAATGAAAAGTAAAAATAATTTGTTTCATTTATATTTATATTCTTCTTATATAAATTCAATAAAAAGTGTTACCTTCATTCCATTCTCTATTTCACTTAACCAAGTTTCCGGTTGATCAGTGATATGTATAATTTCTGGTGAATGTACTGGATTTGGTAATAAACATGTTGCACGTTTTTTGGCATCACAATACACTAAAATTGCATCTCTTGCATCACCTTCATTGGGATCAATCCAATATTCTCCTAAAATGGAAAGATATTTTTAATAAATATATTAATATTCTGTGAATTATTTGATAATTTTAATTTCAATAAATAATTATTTTACAATTTATATGAACTAACCAGAAAGTTTATTAGGATAAGCACTATAAAGATCTCTACAAGTTTTGGCTGGTGAATTTTTTTCACCATCTGGTTTTATAAATTTTTGAAATGATGATTTTAGTTGTTTATATGCTTTTTGAATTAGTTCTTGCCTTTCTTGTTCTGTCATGTCTTGACTAAACATTCTAGGTGGTTCATCACCAATTAATGGATCTGGTCCTTTAATTTGGCCTTGTCCTATTCATATAAAGATTAATGTAATGGTTTAATAATTCTAATATTAATTATTTTTATATAATTATTCTTTTCTGATGTATACAGAAATATAATATATAATAATTACCTAGAAGAGCAGCTAAAGAAGCAGCATCATATCCTAATCCAAGTTCACCAGGTGGACCTGGAGGACCTGGTGGACCAGGTGAACCTGGTGGTCCATGACGACCTTCATCTCCTGGAGGACCTTTTGGTCCTGGATTGCCAATTAATCCAATTGGTCCAGGATTACCATCTCGTCCTGGACTCCCTCTAGGTCCAGGTTCACCATCTTTACCAGGTAGTCCAGGAAGTCCAGGTATTCCTTTTTCTCCTGGTGGACCAGTAGGTCCAGGTAGGCCTTGTAAACCAGTAAATCCTCTATGACCTTTTAAACCTTTTTGTCCTTCTTCGCCACGTTCACCTTTAGGGCCTTGTAGTCCAATAGGTCCTGGTTTTCCTCTAAGTCCCTAATTAAAAAAATTAATTTTTCTTTTTATAATATTTATTTTAAAATCACAATAAAAATAAATATAAATATACATAATTTCGAAGTACTATATAGATTGCTATATATATCATTAATAAAAATGATAAAAACTAACTTGTTGTCCCTCTACACCTTGTGGTCCTGTTTCTCCTTTTGATCCTCTTTCTCCTGGTGATCCTGGAGGACCTGCTTGACCAGGAGGTCCCTATTTATCAAAATATAAATTTTCATTTTACATTATTTTCAATTTATATAATGTGATTATAACTTACAGGTAAACCTGGAGAACCTGGTAATCCCGTTTGACCTACTGCTCCAGGTGGTCCTTTATCTCCAGGACGACCTGCTATTCCAGGTGGTCCAGGTTTACCACTAGATCCTTCTGCCCCAATTTCTCCTGGTGGTCCAGGTGGTCCAATTGGTCCAATTTGCCCTAAAAGTCCAGGTGGACCTTCTGGTCCTGGTTTTCCAGGTACACCAGATTCACCCTATTATATTATATTGATTACAATATAAATAAATTCTAATATATATATCTATAATTCAGAATAAAATTGAATAATTATGTTTTATAAAATTAAAATTTTAATCAAACTTACAGGTGCTCCTCGTATTCCTCTAGCACCTATTGGTCCAGAAGGACCTGGTAAACCAGGTAATCCTCTCTCACCAGGAGAACCTTGAGGACCTTGAGGACCAGGAATACCTGGAGGACCTTGAGAACCACTTTCACCTTTGTTTCCATCTGTACCAGGTAAACCTGGATTTCCAATTGGTCCAGGATTTCCAGGTCGTCCTGCTTCTCCAGTATTACCTTTACTACCTGGCAATCCAGATGGTCCTAGTGGTCCTATTGCACCTGGTGGACCCTATAAAAATTTTAAATTATAAAATTAAATTGATATTGTATATCAGCAAAGAAAAAACATACTGGTGCACCAATGTTTCCCGGTACTCCTGGTGGTCCTATAATACCAGCTTCTCCTCTAGCACCTGGTTCACCTCGTATTCCTTTAGATCCAGTCAAACCAATTGAACCCTGTGGTCCAGTTTCACCTGGATTACCTATAAGTTTTATATTAATAGTTTACTTGCTTGTAAAATATAAAATTTGATTTTGAATATTTTATGTGCATTACATATTATTTATTACCAGGTGGACCAGGATTTCCTTGATCTCCCTTTAAACCTGGATAACCACGATCGCCTTTTAATCCTGGTAAACCAATAAGTCCTTGAGGTCCTGGGAAACCTTGTAATCCTTGAAGTCCTTGAGGTCCTCTCTCTCCTAGATTGCCAGGAGCACCTATCTCTCCTGGAGGACCAGGTAAACCAGGATCACCTCGTTCTGCTGGTTCACCTGGTGGTCCCGGTGGACCAATTTGACCTTGAGGTCCACGTTCTCCAATCCGTCCTATAAAAATATACTAACATTATATACTTCTTCAAAATAATAAATACATTTTTTTCTATGATATACAACCTGGAGGTCCTTCAAGACCTATTGGTCCAGTAGGTCCCCTTTCTCCTTTTGGACCAGATTCTCCTGGAGCTCCTCGTAAACCAGGCAATCCTACTAATCCGGATGGTCCTGAAATTCCTTTATCTCCTTTAACTCCAGGTAATCCCTAAAAAAGATATTTATTTTATATACATTTTAGATAATTATTAAAATTTTAGTAAATATATGAAGAAATCAAAAGATATATACAGGAGGACCATCTAATCCTTGTACTCCAGGTTCTCCTCTTGGTCCCATTAATCCTGGCCCTCCTGCAGCACCTCTTTCTCCAGGAAAGCCGCGTTCACCTCTATTTCCAGGTATACCTGGTGAACCAGGTGGTCCTTGAACACCTGGTTCTCCATCTTTTCCTGGCGTTCCCGCATTTCCAGTTGCACCTGGAAAACCCTAATTACATCAAATTATGTAATAAAATTATATTGTTTCTTTGTTTATTATTTTTACATATGTTTTAAATATTTTATTTATTAATTTTTTCAAAAGTATGTTTCTATATTTTTAATATAAAATATACCTGAAAACCTCTAGGACCTGGAGATCCTGGAGGTCCTCGTTCACCATCTGCTCCTGATGGTCCAGGTGAACCTTGTGGTCCTGGTGCTCCTTCTTTTCCTGTATCACCTCTGGGACCAGATGGTCCAGGATTTCCAGGTTCACCAGCTTTTCCAGGCTCGCCCTTTTAATGAACATAAAAATAATTTTTTTCAGATATCTAATATTAAAGACAAAAATAAAATGATAAATATAAATATTATTAATACTGGATATCCTTTTTCTCCTGGAAGACCTAGTGGGCCAGGCAGACCTTGTAAGCCAGGTGGACCTTGTTCTCCAGGTTTTCCATCAGCTCCTTGGATTCCTCGTTCTCCTGGATTACCTGGCTTTCCAGGTGCACCAGGACGACCCATTAATCCACGTGTACCCTATAATATAATGTTATATTTCATATTTTTTAATATAAAAAATTATAAATATATCTAATAAGCCTGTATATATCTAATGTATATATGTTTAATATATATATGTA